TAATTGTGTTATGTGCCAGTAGCCCATGAGGAAGATTTACATGGCTTGGTTATGAAATACACAAAGCACGATATTCAGACCTTCAAAAGAGAAGCTATTTAGGTAGTTGCACAGGTAATTATACAAGCAAGGACAGAGTCCCTTCTCTGCATGGACTATGCTGAAAAAAACTGGAACTAAACACAAGGGAAACTTTTTTTTTTAAGAGCAACTCTATTTTGGCACTTCTGAAAGCTTGAAAATAAAGCTTTTATTTCAAAATAGCAACTAAAATAAGTGACAGTGACAGCAGAACTCTTAATCAGAGCATACACTGTAATACCATATTCCACAAATTGTGCATTTTCACAGCTAGGATTAACAAATCTCATTTTCTTGCAAGAAGGATTTGGATTGGCTAAGAACATTTTACAAGGACTTTCTGTGTTTAAACAGCCCAAGACACCAATATTTCCCCTCTTGTGACAAATTAATCAGTGGTCTGACATGTCCACATGCAAATTAATCTGTAGTCTAAGGTAAATCCTAAAAGAATATGGTATTTCCAACAAGCTGACTGTGGTATGCAGGTTCTGGAGGGGGAACAGTGATCACTTCCATCAGGTTTAGCAAATCTTTGTTTAAAATGCATTTTTCTGTGAAACATGGGAATGTGCTGGTTTTATTACATATGAAGTGGTGGCTACGGTAAGTGGTGGCTCTGGGAAGCATGTAGGGCACCCCACTGAATCTACCAATGAACTCTACACAGAGTCCTGGAACCGCTCAAATGCAGGGGATAACAGGAACCCAAAGAGCGAGATTCTTCATCTCCTGGGCTACACAACCCTCCTCATAAGCAAAAGGAAAATGTGGTCCAGTGGCTGGAACATCAGAAATGCCACTTTCAATCCATGTTCTGAACTGTCCTGCAGCTTTAATCTAAGCAATAGGAACACAGGACTGTGGGTAAAGCATCTCCCTAGGTCTTTGTCCAGTCTGCTGCCACCGCACACAAACATGTCATAACATCTTTCAGAAGTTAATCAAGCCCCATCTTAATGCACGTTAGACTGCTAGCCACCACTATAGGGCTGTTCAAGAACCTCACTCCCCAAATGGGTTGAAATCTTAAGTGCTCAGTTTTATATAGTTGTTTTCAGAAGGCATCATAAAGACCAGAAGTTTGCACAGAAAAAAAACAAACTGATATCCTGCCAACATTAAATATGCTGCACAAGTGCATTAGCCTATTTCAGTAATTCCTAACAAGGGGCCGTAAGATTCTTTGCAGTGTTGGGGGGGGGGTCAAACTGCACCGCATTTAAAATATTAAAAAGAACAGTTAATGCATTAAGTTTGCACTAATCAAAACCAAAAAGACAGGAAACACAAACAAATTCTTATTCCTACAGTAGCTTCAAGTCTACCCTGTTGTGCACAACACACATTTTACGAAAAAGAAATATTAAGCTACATATTCAGAAAAAAGAATGGGAACAGGACCCTAAGTGTGCAAGCAGGGAGCAAGTTATGAACAACTAATACCTTAAACCACTGCACTGTTTTCACATTTACCTTTAAGTATTTTCATGCCACCACCCAGAAAGGGAACAGAAGACCCAGATCAGGAATTTACAGGAAACCAAAAGCTCTAGGAGCGCACAGTGCATAAGCTTCTCTCACTGAAGTTTATTTCACTAAGTTTAAGGTGCAAAGCCTGCTGCTATCAGTGGGAGAAAGTTTGAGTTTGTAACCATGATAACGTATCTTCCTGAAAGACAGGACTTTACAAACCGAGTACAGAACATAAGTTACAGGCAACTTAAACTGGGAAGAATGCTCAGACTATTTGTGGTTCTCTTTACAAAAGTAAAGTTTGAGGTTAGGGAAGGATCCCTTCACGTTCTCTATTCCATGGCGTATTTATAAAATCAATTAAAATAGAGTCAGCAGCAGTCTCAGGAACTATGATTATGTTGGATGAACCTGACAGAATATGTAGTGTGGTTTCACAAGTGGGTTTGACAAAAATCTTAATATTTTCTGTGAGCATTAGGTCTTACTCATTTAGTTCATTCCTATTCACTCATACCTAGCAATAAAAGCCCTTCATCCAGTAACAAATCAGCTAGCTATATTTGTGCTTAGTTCAGAATGGAGACTGTATGAATCATGGAAAGGAAATAAACATTCTTCTAAACTTGTTCTGTCTGCAGATGGAAACATCCAGCCACAAGAAAAGTGAATATTTCAGAAAAAAATATTTATGACAACAAGGCTAATACAAAAGCTTTTAGGCTCCAGCTGTTATGACCCAAGCAGTCAGTGTATTTTAAAGTCTCTGTTCAGATAAACGTGAAACAAGAAATAAGATATAATCTGATCAGGGCGGAACCATAAAATGCAATTAGTCCAATAGCTAGACTACTGTATGCATCTTCCTTACCTGGTATTTTTCCTTGAGAAAAAGCAACAACGAAGCTATGAATACAGCAGTAACAATACTGTACAAGCAACTGGTACAAACAGAAGTTACAAGAAAAGCTAAATTAGATTTAACAGATTAAAACTGAAAAACATGTTTAAAGACGACTTACACGAGTCTATTTTAAACTGCTTAAACGGTCCTTTGCACTTGTACTGATGCAACCAGTGCCACAAAAATGTTACACTAATTTAATTTACACCCGCTTGCACTTTGGCAAACAGGAATAAGATAGCCCAAATGTTTAAAAAAATGCTACAATGGTCCCAATTCGTTTCCAAAGGACGTCAAATCAGTAGCTTGGTCAGGTACCTGGATAATCATCATCTCAAGATACCAAGCTGCATGAATTAAGACAGTAAATGAGACTTTAAAAAAAAAGATTCTTAATTAAAACATCCTAAGATCAATACTGAATTAATTTAGAGATATTACTTAAGAACAAATCCTTTCTGTTTATCTACCCACCAAATCGCAAAGGTAATTCCTGGATGGTGAGAATGGGAGAAGTCATGCAAAGCCTGTTAGTTATTTTAACAAAGCAGAATCCAATATGCTTGCCACGTGTCATTACTGAAGTGCCTTGCACTTGTTTTTTCTTGTGTTACTCCAGTAATGTCTGCCCAAGTATTAAGAGTAGATTCAACTAGAAAAATGTACCTTGGATTTGGTAAAAGTGTGAGCAGCACCACAAGTACTTGGTTGCAGTTTCACCTCTATGTATTACTCTCTATTTTTAGCTTTAGAGAATACCCTTTGGATGAAGTGGAAAGCTAAATTCTAGTATGTCTCTAAATCCCAACTGAAACCCCTTCTTCCCCTTGACACGTGCAGGGATTAGGGAAAGTAAACACTCACGTGTTTAGTACCTATATCTAAATATAAAAGGCATGTGTCCAGACAGCATATATCCTTATATTGGGCCATGGTTGGGGACAGCCATCTTGCAAGTTTTCCTTAGGTGTCTGCTGAAGTACACAGATTCCTATCAACAACAGTGACCCAGGCAATCTGACTTAGGCAGCAGGACCTTTGACCTAGTTTAGAAGTTAAGGGCTCATATAATGGAATAATATTTTCTAGCCTTTATGGACTAGAATTGCCTCCAACATTTAAGTTGCATCACAAGCAACAGAAAGAATTGTAATAAACCAGGTAAATATTGCCTCTTTTTCTACTCCGTTCCCAAGAACACGGTTAGTTTTAGACACAGACAAGATCTAAAAACTTAAACTGAAGGAAATTCATCATGAAGACAACTGGTCAATTTTAAAACCAGAACAGAAAGGGATCAGTGCTAGTAGTTATCTCCTCAAGGACTTCTGTGCAAAGGCAGCAGAAGCCATGTTACAGCTCTAAGATATCTTTTGCAAAAGTTGCATTCGTTGTGGCTGCAGAATGGGAAGATCAGATTTCTTTCACGTTCTAAACACTTTCAATTGAACTAGTTTGAACAGCCAATGCACATAATACAATTTGACTCAAGCAAGCCTTCAGGACATACTTCACCTGTCTCTCCATCTGCACATACTTTCAAAGACAACAAACAAAACAAGAACAGCAGCACTGCCATGCCCAAATGGATTCAGATTGCCCCCTTCCTACCTCTTGAAGTACCAGACAATCCTCTGATGTTTAAAATCCAACAAGTTAGATAAAGAGACTTCTCTCAGTGACTCTACAGAAGTCGCGCTTCAACAGGGAAACATCTCTGCCTTAGTTTGACAGGACTCAGGATGACTCCAGAATCTGTCAATAAAAAGAACTTTAAAAGGTCCCAAAAGACGAGCACTAAGCTAGAAAACAAGTCTCCCAATCATCTTTCTTGGCTGCTTTTACAAATAAACTTAGCATTTATTCAACAGGATGGAGAAGGTTGATGAAGTATTCTTATTCACTTCTGATGGAAGTAAGGGGGCCACACTGGCCTAACTTCACTATCAAACTCAGAAACAGTTTTACTTCTAGATGGCAAAGACCCTGAAACAACTTCTTTGGAGCTACCTCTTTAAGGCAGCTATCTCCATTTTCTACCAGAGAGCTTCAAGGTCTAAGCAAGGCTGAGATGAACACCACAGCCTGAACTGGAGTTCAGAGGAAAGAGCTCCTGTAGAGTTCGACAAAAATCCCATTCAACTGCTGCTTGATGGATGTGCATAGACACAGCTTCTCTCAAACTTGGCTAAATTACCAGCTTAAAACTGAATTCATCGCTTTACCAAATTTATTTCAAATTGCTTGTTTAATCCTTACGTATCAGAACAAACGTGATCTTGAAAACAGAATTAGAAAATTAGAAGCAAGAGCTCTAACCCCACATTTGATTGATACTAGCTAGAGAACAAATTTGAAATATATTTACTTAGAAAAAATGGTGCGATTTAGTTAATCCTTTTATGTGAGAAAACAGTTAAGGAGCTAGCCATTTCACTGCACCCATTTGTTTAGCAAAGTATGTACAGCATTGAAAAACCTTTAATTTTTTCCATTCCCGCTTTTAGCTCATGTGAAAAGGTATTGAAAATTATCTACATTTACAGTTCAGTCACACATTTTTATTTAACATCAGTATACAGAGGACAACCCCAGCAAATTTTTTAATGTCAAGTATTTAGTAAAGTTTTTCAGCTGTAACAGTGACAATAGAACAGCTAAAAATAAGCAGTATGAAACAAACATGATTTTTTTAAAATTATAAATATACCAACAATACTTCTTAAAGCTTAATTATTGCAACAGTTAATTTAACAATATTTTATGTTAGAAAGGCTCTATGAAATTTATTCAAGTTGTCAAGAAGTTAGATGGAAGTGTAAAAAGGAAATACATATGAATTTTACTTTTGATATTCACTAAAGGTATAGTCAATACAATTTTGTACAGTATCACCTAACATGTCAATCTTGTAACAAACTCAAGTATACAGAATTCATAAAAATGCAGGAAAAAATCGTCTTTAATTTTTACATGTAATCTGACAATAAATTAACTGACACGAATTTTTGTTATTGTAACAAAGGCAGGCCAGCATTTTTAATATCAATTTAGTAGCTTTAAACTGTTAGAGGGGCAGATGTATACAGACATTCTGAATACATAATCAAATTAAGAGGTGATAGTTCAAATCAAGGAATTTCTGGAAGTGTTCAGTAAAAGTCATGTTATTTCCTACTCCAGACACCCTCATCATAAAGCTTTTACTGGGTTCTGATCTTCGCTGGCTTCACTGAAGTCACTAGGCCATACTTCCACTGTGCACACCTTGCTAGAAATCATCACACCACAGTATGAGTTGAATTTCATCCTGATGAGGTGTGCTAGGTGCAACCCTGCTATTATGCCCATTAGAGAAAAGTTCAAATATTTCAGTTTGGTACTCTAATGCCTTACAGCCAGGATTCAGTTTTACTATAATCATCCCTGAAGTTTATATAGATACCATGCCACTTTTGAAAGAGAACTATTTGATAGTATTTAAAAATCAGCAATTGAACTTCAATTGTAATGGTGAAATGCCCCTTTCCATTGAGGAAAAATTAGTACGTGTAACCGCTTTTAATTCCAATATAGTACATGAATGTTTAAGTACTTTTTTTTTTTAAACCATAACAGTCATACCAAAACATGATACTGCACTACAATTGTAGTTAATTGGAAAATGCAAGGATGTTATAATTTAAGTCTAGATTTTCCTGTACAACAAGAATGAAATAAATATTTAAATTCCATGTGCATTTTGTTTTACCAAGTGGTAACGTACTCATTCTGCCAGGGTATATACTGCCATTTCACTCGAGTATTCCTTCGTTGTGTCCCATCTTACCTTGAGCTCTCTTACAAGAGATAGAGTGGGCAATTTCCCCTTGAAATAAAATGAAGTGGTTGTAGAACACCATGAACAGGTTAAGTGTGTGTCACCCATCTGGGTAGGTAATTCAGTTTATTTTTAATAAATTAAATAATTATTTTAAAATAATGCGTTTAGGATGCTAGTCGTGCCAAGTAAAAGTGATTTAGCCAAAGTAACGAACATTCAAGTAAATTGCCTTGCATAAAGATGTGCCCAGCATTTTGACTGCATTTGTAGATCCTTACAGTTGGAAGCAACTGACACTGCAATCTGTATGCAGTTTAATATTTCCAGCTCCCTTTAAGCTGTTTTTCACACAGTAGGGATAAGATAGCCATTTCTATGACCCCCTCCCTAGGTTTACCTAGGGAGCAATCCCCACAGGCAATATGGCTACAATTACCTTCTCAGACATCAACGCACCCTCCACAAATGAGACCAAGATTGAATTCTGTAAAGTCAGACTTCCAAAGGAAAAGAACAATGATTCACGATTAATTTTGGACTGTTAAAGCATGTCATCCGTCCGCATCCCACTGGTCCAATTTAAATTTATCTTTGTAAATTTCTTGCATTATTTCTGACCAGAAGTTAGCATAGGAATTTTAGAAACTTGTTTGGTTCATATTTGACAAGAACAGCTTATCCAATGAAGAAGCTCAAGGTACGATGGTTTAACAGAAATTGTAATTCAAAAAGCTTGTAGTGTTCACTGCACGGAGCATATAGAACAGTGCGGCAGTGCCCCATGCTGCCGTGAAGACCCACTGCGAGATTTCTAGCCAAAAGCAGCAGAGATTAAATGCTGCATACAAGGTCAGAGGAGAATACTGGTCACAGGGTTGGCCATATACATGCTTTGATGGCTCTTACAAAAAGAAGGAAAAAAGAAGAGGGAAAGAGAGGGCTGGCTCAACAGCAGCCACGCTTTGTACTGTAAAATTAGTTCAATTTTCTGTCTTATGCTGTGTGTTGGCAGTGGTAGGAATTCAATGGAGGCCCTTGAAGGCAAGAATAGAATGAATTTAGTAAAAAGAGAGAATTTTCATGTTTAGTTGTTGTAGGACAAGACAGGAGGGGGGGCAGTTGACTGTCAAGGAGCCAGTCAGTGAGAGGAAGACTAAAAGGTAGCAGCTTTATATCCTAGAGTGCCAGACTTACCCAGGGATAAAGCCACTGGCAGGACAGAAATGTGTGGTATATAACCTAGTAAAGAGACGTTACCATAAGTGTTTTTATACTTGGACAATTCTCATTAAATATGTATAAAGTTATAATAAGTGCTCTCATAAACAAAAAGGATGCTTATAACATCTTTCTGGCACAAATATTTTCCCAACCCCCTGTAAACATGCCACCAAAACTTAGTTTATACCAGCAGAGTGAGCTCACTGTAAATGCAAATAAAAAAAACAAACAGAAAAACAAATCCATCTGAAAATTTTTAAGCAAATACATCCTAAACAATATGGCATTTACATCAGTGTGCAATATTAATTTTGAAAGTGAAATTTAGCATGAAAAAGACTTACCTGTAATTAAAGTTTTCCATAGTGGCCAAATACATAAATCCTGATTTTTGGTACTGCATACTCTATCTCTGAAATATTTGAAATGTTGTATTCCAAATCAAAAAAAAAAATCAATGCATAAACATCTGTTTAAAATTACATATCCTTCAGTTTAACAAAACCTGACTTACTATCTGAAAAAATTTAAAGGGGTGCAAAAACAGATCTGGAACAAAAACAAAAAGATGCATGCTATGCTGGATACCTGAGACACTGATGCATATATAATTAAGTTACTTTAAAAAAAAGCATAAACAAAAACCAAGCTGTGGCTTGCAATAAGTCACAGAATTAAGAGAAAAGTGGTTCTATTGTTTTAGCTCATGTAGTTTTAATATTCTAGGACCCCGTTCCCCCCACCTCCCATGTACTAAACCATAAAATGTAAAGCAGTGCCCTTTTTCCAAAAGGTTTGCACACTTTTCAGATTTAAATCTAGTCATCAAGTGTACATAAAGATAACAAGTGGGAGAAAGGTTCACAAAGTGCACACACACTAAGACAGACAAACTAAAGGTTTTGTTTGTCGGCTGGTTTTAAACCACAGAAGCTTGGCATTTCAAAGCAGCTAGAATCACCAGTTCTCTTTTAGAGACGATTCTGAAAGAAGTAATTTTAAGATTGCCACAACTACCTTGCAACAGAGATATAAAGTTATATTTTATTTTTCCTCAGGTCTATTCATTGCTCCAACTTGGAAACAGGACTCTTGAGAATCAAGTAGTTTAGACCAAAGGAACCTTGTATTTTCATTTAAGCAGTTCAACTGGGAAAATATTCTGATAATTTAGAAGTGAATGCTCCAGTAATGTGATAATATAAACCTCTCAACTGTTTGAAAACCACTGGAAATAACAAGGGCATCCTCTACTAGACTGGTGCAGTTACTGCTCTAAAAATAGTGTCAATCTCATTAAAATGTTGCTGGCAAACAAAGCTATCTTGGCACAAGGCGCTTAAAGTTATGAGAGAGAAATCAGCCATTAGTTCTAGACTTATTCAAAGAGATAAAAAACAAATCTGCCATGCAGTGGACAAAATAAGTACTGTATTCCAGTTTAAGAGGATGGCCCAATAGGTTCAAAATCTAAAAACGGATTACTTTAATGAAAGTTAAATTGATAGGACAAGTGTCTGCCTTAAAGGAGATCTGCCTCCAAGTTGGTTAGAAAGTTGATAATATTGGACAAAATATGAAGCCATTTATACAGAAATCTTAAGTGATCTTCCTCGTGGATGGACTTCTATATAAATCAAAAGTAAAAATCAAAATCTTTTGTCTGTACTGTACTAACATATTTAAGAACAGACTCAAAAATTTCACAGGCGTGCTAACAATCCCTGATATGGTTAGAGGATTTGAAAATAAATTGTTCATAAAAATAATTGACATAAGATGCAATGTCTTACATGAACATGGCAGAAATCCATAAAAAGGTATATAGGGTTAATGCTTTGGTTTCCAGTTTTCAGATGGTACACTTAAGGTATAAAACGCCATGTCATGATTGAATCACAGCAGCAGCTTTTCATAAACTACTCATGACTGCAATATTTAGTAGGAAAACACCTGACCAATTACAATATTGTCACTCCAGTGACTGACTTTAAACCTACATTTTAAATAGCTTTCACTGTGTTGTGGTTATACTAAAATATAGGAACACTAATTGTTACTTTAGATGCACAGTATTTCTCTTGTTGGAAGGCAACTATATTTAAGAACTGTACTGAAGACGCTTCAAATCATTCAGAAATATGGCATGCAGTATCCAAAAGTATGGCTCTGAGGAAATAATCTTTTTACATTAAGCATAAAGAAACTGTATATTCAACATTCATTTCTATTGAGAGAACTGCCTATTCAGAGGTCTAGTTCTGTGATGCAGCATTAAGGATTAAAACTTACCCCTTTACCAGGCCTTGCCCATGTGCAAATAAATCCCTCCTGACAAGCAGTGACTATACAGTCTTCAAGAAAAATTAACACAGTCAGTCTTTCATGTGCTATCTTTTTACAGATAAGAGGCTCTAACAAGGGAACATCTTCCATTCTGGGACAAAGAGGTGTTCCCAAAGTTTTAGCTGGGTCCGTTTTGGTTTTAGTAACTAGGTTCAGTTTGTCACTGCTCTTGCTAGATATATGTCCCATGCTATGATTTCTCTTGTGATCTTTTTCATGGTGTCTTTCCTTCCGATCGTGTAGTGATAGGGTTGCAAATTTACTAACACCAGAAGCAATGGCACCATCCATGACACTGCTTTTACTGCCAGCATTTGAGACTGCAGAATGCGGAAGGCTGTTTGACCGTGGAAGAGGAGGTGGTACAGAGTTTCCAGGTGTTGTGATACTGTTGCCATTACTTCCTGGATTAGTTCCACCACTTCCTGCAGGCGGACTTGTGGCATTCATAACATTTGTGTGTGTCCTTGCTCTCGAGAGAGGTTGGTGGGGAAAGAGAATATCTTCTGTAAGGTCCCACAAACAGATCTGCGTGTCCTGACCTACTGAGCCAAACCTGTATGTAACACTTACTGGACGACTGTCTGTAGAGTTCCTTTTTGACAACCTAGATTGTGTACTATTTGCTCGATCTCTGCCAAAATGAAGGAGGTCTTGGAAATCCTCATCACTTCCACTAAATTCCATTGGGTCACTCTCTTCTACGCTAGTGGTATATGGGTCAAAAGCCACAACACTGACCCATGATTTATGTCCGTGGCCTCTAGCTATTACTCGACAGTCCACAAAAGACCAAACTGTCACTAAGTCATCCTCTCCACCTGTTACAATATATTTCCCATCAGGGCTCCAACATACACATAGTAGTCCTCCAAAGTAGCTTTTCATTGTACCATGTAACTCCACTGAATCAAAGTTAAACACACGAAGAAAGCCATCCTGGCTCACACATGCCAAGAATTTCCCATCTGGGGAAAAGGCAAATTCATTCAGGGCTCCCTCACCTACTGTCCATTTAAGCAGAGGGTTTCTTGTGGATTTACTCTTGCAAGTGTGGACTGCAAAGTTTTCTCCTTGTTTAAGTAGCTGGTAGTGTGGGGCTGTGGTGCCACAAGTGTGTTCCACGTTATACAAGTACATACTGCCACTGGAATGAGCTACTAGGAAAAGGCTTTCCGAACCTGGTACCCATTTTACACAGGTTACTCGGGACTTGTCTATTAGTCTCTGTGAAAAAAAAAAGAGGAAAAAATATGCATCAGAAGAGTCTGATATAGTTTTACATTATCAATATTAAGTTTTACTGAATTTTGGCCACTCAGAACTTAAGGAAGTGATCTAAGCTTTTGGCATAGGAGCTATAAAACTCTTCTACTTGCAAAATAGCTCCAGATATCTTGAGGTATTATCAAACAATTAGGAAGAAAAATTACAGTTTAGAGAAAGGTATTTTGGGAAGGTTTATTCTTATTGGTCCAATGTTTTGTTTCAAAGATAATCTCTCAATTAAGCCAAAGTTACTATACATCACAATTTAACATTCTTAGATATACTTTTTTTTACTGAACACTGGAAGAAAGTTAAGCCATAAATTCTAGCAATAGGCATGATCTGTGTGAATATGCTAAATCACCTACCCTCTACAGAAAGCTTACAGGTTAGCAATTAAAAGAAAAAGACCAGATCATACTGGACGTCATATTCATGGAACATACCCTCACACAAAAAGCTTTTGGAGACCGCTAGAAAATTCTAGAGTTTCCAAAGTCCACAGATTAAAGTATGCCAAGCTGCAATCAATGTGCAGCACTTACTTTAATTTTAAACAGCCCAGTTTAGAGATGGGGAAGACTGCTGGCCTACACTTACATTTCAGACTTAAAAAATAAACACAAAATAACCAGACCCTTTTTATGAATATTTTTATACACGTCAGTCCAGAGAAACTTTGCAGTCTGTTTGGTCGCCCCATGTACAAGTAGTCTCCTTTCAAATAAATATATTTTAATAGATTCTACACCTGAAGATGGAATAGACGCCACATGAAATAATATCCAAATGTGTTCCGTCAACCATCTTGTCAGTGCTGAAAAAACACCAAAGTATTACCTGGTTGCTTGAGCCTGATTACCTAGTAGATTTGTAAACCCAGCTGATCAGCCATGCCACACCCATCTGATCACCTGACACCTACAACTTGATTTAGAAACAAGTGATAACAATATATAAGGGGAAAGATAATGGGCCATGGGTTGTAGGTTGTATAATTCAACTGCCCTCTCAATTAAGATTGTAACAAAAAATAAAAAGGAACTCCCAGGAAAACACTGGGAACTGACTCGCTGTGAAGTATACTTAGGTATGTCAGAGAAGAAGTAAAACTGATAGATGAGGTAACACTACTCATTCTAGGACCATGTCTGCCACTTAAGCAAGCAGAAGTTAAGTCATCATTTTAAGCTATCTGGAGCACTTGCTGCCATTAGTCCCAGTAGATAAGCTCTGCCAAGGACTTGACACTGTCTCCTCATTGGCCTTGCAGGAGTAGTCATTGTATTTGAAGGTTCTGAAGACTACTTTATTGTCTCGCATACCTCGAAATAAGACAAGTGCCTTTGCCAGAGTCATGGCCAACTGTGACAGAGTAAGTCCTCCTAGAAACAGAGTATCCAGGAAGCATGGCATCACGACGGTATGGGTGAAACAGCAGAAACTTCCTGGGGTAGAATGGCAGCAGCAAGGCTAGGCCCCAGATCCTTGCAAGGACAGTAACAAGATGGTTCTTCTTTACTGTAAATAGTTCTTTGTAAAGTTCCTGTAAATAAAGGGCTGTTCCCATACCACAAAATTCAACAGAATACTACAGCCTGCACACAGCAGCTCACTGGCCCCAAGCCAGCTCAACTGCTCTTTCAGGCACAATCAACTGTGCTCAACCAGTAGCTATCACTAGGACAGCACTAGCACAGGAGTCAGTCCCTTCTGCTTGCTAGGGCCAGAGATCAGCAGCAGCCATCTTGGGACCCAGTAGAGCACTGCATCTACCTGGCTTCTATTCATCCCTGTCTTTATTCCAGCAAAGAAAAATCAGCTTTCCCACCTCAGATGCACACTCCAGTTTTGGAGGGCTGTTTTTTGGGGGGAAGGCTGTAAGTAGTGTCAGTAAATATGGTAATATAATCTAGCAAATTTCTTTCGAAACAAGAAGGGTCTTCAAAATGAGTTTTGTTCAGTTTGTGACGCTGTTAAAAAAAGTGTCCCGTGTTTTCTGCATTTGAAGAGAGTTAAGATGCTTCTGTTTTGTTGTTGATCATTCATGCCTTTTCAGTTGTACCTCTAATGATACTAGTTAGAAAATTACCTTGTGCAAACAAGGACAATGATGATAGGGAGACAGCAAGTAAGAATCTACATCAATTTTTAGCCGTTAAAACATGTGCCACTATGGTACAATGAAAGATTCCTCACATTGCTCCATTACTGTGACCAAGAGCTCCTACCTTGAGGAGTAAATAATATTCCAATGTTTATACTGAAGCAGTATCTGAAGACCACATTATGCTAAGTACTGTACAAAAAGAGATGGCAAACCCTGCCCCAGAGAGCTTACAATCTAAAAAGTTAATAAGCCCATATAAACACACACACGCAGGGGACAGGGAAAAGTAGATAAGGAAACCCCACTGCACCCCCTCAAAAAAAAACAAAAAAAACAACCAGAACTAGGGTGGGCAGAATTCTTGGCCAGTCAGAAGCAAGTGATCACAATTAATCGTCTGCTTACCCATTACGAAGGGTGCAGTTTTACAAGTGTATGAGGAACATGCCAAGTTTTGCGGAGGATCCTGAACAATGTGGTGAGTTCACCTATTAACTGCAAGCTTCTTCTACTCGTGAAATACAGCAGGGGAGAAAGCACTAAAACATTTGTTGGAGAAGCAGGCAACTAAAGCTTATCTCACTGTCTTTGCCAAGGGTAACAGGATGAGAATAAGAATAAGTACTGGTAGACAGAGACTGAACTGTGGCAAGCTTTGAAAGCCTGGATAAGAACTTAATGTTTGCACTGAGAGTGCAAAGGGAGGGACTTTAGCAGTTAACCATCAGTGTTTGGAATGGACTTGAAGGGGCAAAGCTACAGCCCGAGACCAGAAAAGGAGGAAGAGGAAGAAACTGAAGTGAATTGAGGCATAAGATGGTCAGGACCTAGCCAAGAAGTTTGGTGGCATGGATAGAAGGAAAGCTGGAACTTGGAAACATAGGACAAGAAGAATCAAAACATAGATGCTGCATAGATATGTAGGTTTAAGGAAAAGAAAGCCAAGATGAGTTAATAGTTTATTTGCCTTAGCCTAAGCCTGAGGATGCAGTTGGGCAGGGTACAGGCTTTTCCACTAGAAAAAAAAAGACCGATTTCTCTTGCATACAACTAGAACTAGACAGTTTTCCATCACTGTAGACATGCACTGAAATTTACACAGCCAGAAGCATGCAGTTTCATAATCTCACCAAAATGAGCCATCCAAGTCCCTGTATCTTATATATTTTACTCGTGTGGCATTTCAAAATATGGTAATGAAGTTTAATTCAGTCTTACCGGATTTTACTCATTAGGCAACTATAAGTAAAAAGACTCCACTGTAACTAAATTAAGCTATTTTGCTAGTCACATGCGTCAGAGGACTTTTTTACTGCCTGGACTGCTTCAGGGTAGGAGATCAGCTTGTGAAGGAGGCAGCAGTTGCATCTCTGCCAACTACTCATCCAAATCAAGCTGCTGGTTTCAAGTCGCATGATAGCTTCACCTACCTCTATCATTTTTAACTATGTGCACAAAGTCCCAATTCTTGAATGTCTGTCTGATAGTATCTATTAAGGGCTTCTTGATGCGAAGCCCATTACAGTTCATATTACCAGGTTTGCCATTTCCATCTGCAGACCACTACACTGGCTTTAAAAAGTTCCAGTTACATAACTATGAATCAGCATAAATGTTTGCATTTTAACTGTCCAACATTAGCATACGCAGTAAATGTATTACTTTGTTTCAGTTCCAATCTCTGCGCTACTAATTTCAGTATTGTGGCGCCTGCCTCCAGATGTTCATTTTGTAGTGCTACAAAACGTTTGTAACATTGCAAAAAAAATAAAACCGCGACCACATCTTCAAACCCCTGGCTGGAGCACAAAGACATGCTTTTCAGCCACGGGGTGATAAAGTGCTGCTCCACAGCTCACCCCCACCCAACTCCTGGGAGGTTTGTCAGTGAACTGGAGAGGTCCATGGACAGGCTTGTAAGCCCAGGTTTTGGGAAGCCTGAAAGTTCAAGTTAGTCTCTGGCTGCGTGGGAGTTCTTTAAACTCTCTAGGCTTTAAGGAGCTACTGGTGTTCAGTTATCATGAGCCCTTTAAAAGTTCCTGGATTTACAAGTAGCGCCAGAATCTTTGTTGTCCTGGCTCCTGGCAAACCTCCCATGGGGGCAGAAGCTGATCAGCACTGTCTCAGATGCTTGAACAGAGGCATGGGTGAGGAGGCTTCCTACAAGTGACAGCAGGAGCTGACTGCGGGCAGTCCCCTCTCACAAATCAACCCCTGCCACTGCTTGCAGAGAAACCCCCATTTCCCATATTACTGTCCAACTGGGATTGTTCCTGGCACAGGTGCTTATTTTTGCTGGAGGGGCCTAAGATGATGAATATGTGCCCCCCAGCATGTGGGGAAGGGTGGGGTATGGGCACAGGCAACATGTGGGGGGGGCAGGAAGGGGCACAGGTGATGAAGCAGGGACAGGGTAAGAAAGCACATCCCCCTCAAGATTTGGGCACAGGTTGCAGCTGGGCTGGACCAGCTCCAGGCAGGAGCTGCCTCTATGGCCCAGTGGATGGGACCTGGTGTGGGAGGGAGCACTGTGTCACCATAGCCAAGGTGAGGCACCCCCTGCCCACCCAGCAGGCACTGGGGCACAACTTGGTGCTACCACCATTGCTATGCCTCACCCTGGCAGTCAGGGCAGCACAGTGGTCCTGCCCACACCAGGTATTGCCTGCTGGGCTGCAGAGGCAGCTCCTGCCAGAGCTGGTCTGGCCCTACTGCAGCCCCTCTGGGCACAGAAATCTTAGGGAGCACATGCCCCCCCCAGCACTGCACTGCCTGTACCCTCCCACCCCACTGTCACTTATGTCCCCTCCATCACAAATTACCTGGAGGGAGCTGCAGGAGCTCCTCTCTAACACTGCTTGGCTGCCATGTGCACATGTGCATGCAGATGCACATGGCGCCCCTCACCTCTGATCGCCTCCCTGCTCCCCCCAGCTCCAAACAGACCCTTTCAGGCTGGAACTCTGCCAGCCTGCAAGGGGAAACCTATGGTTTCCCGCATTTTTCTCCATTAAAGAGAAGATCCACATTTTCCCCACAGTGAATGGAAAACCTAGATCCCTGGCCTCAGTCATCATTCCTAAGATATATGATACAATTTTCCTGAGATTTGGGCCCCAGCAGCCTTCTTCCCCAGGAGAAGGGAGGCCAGGGTCCTCAGGCCCCCACTTACTCTGTGCCTATGGCTCGTGGGGAGTAGAAGGTAGCTCTGCTTGCTGTATGTCATCCCACTGTGCCCAGAGCTCTTCCAGGTATCTGCCCAGCACCAGAAATTTTACAAGAGATGCAGGCAGCCTGGGACCTACAAATCACCGTTGGTTAACATGCCCAACTTTTGAGTTGCAGGTACACTTATTAAAAGGGACCAGGAAGCAGTGGGGACAGGGAAGCCTGAAAGCCTCCCTGATACTGTGCCTCTGAGCAGGCTGCTCTCTCCACCTCTGGTGCACAGCACAGCGGGATTGGTGGGGTTCCTCTACCTGGCCAGATGCTAAGTTTCTCCCAGCATTACAAAAAAGATGCTGTTTAAACAGCAACCTCTGTCATAGATCTCTCAGTGTAGCTTTACCCTTTACAAGCTTTAGTGTACCCAGAATTCAGGCATGCAACTGTCTTGTCTGTCTTACAGTTCAGTCATACAAGCTGCATCTGCACTTCTGATACAACTAGTGGACAGCTTTCACAAGTATCATAAAGTTCATCTATGCTGATGGGAACTCAAGGGTTGAAACAAAGCTCTATCAGTTCAGTTTTCAGCATCTTTGCCATATAAACAGTCATCACAGAAAAAAATATCAGCTGCTATTGCAGCCTCATCACCACAGCTCCTACTGATGCAATTGTACCTATGGCAAATTACAAATCCTACTGGTATTAGGTACATGAGGGAGAGAGGGGGAAGGGGGGAAGGAGCTACAGTCGAATCATCAGTATTTCCCCAGTCAAGAGTAAGGAAACACAAGGGTGGGGGGGGAAGAGCATGGAGGAGAAACCATCAAACCCTAAGTGTTTTTTGTTTGCTTTTTGCAGAAAGGCACCCAAGTTTTACCTTTTTAACAGTCATTTAGCCAGTCAGCTAGTACAGGTCTATTCAGGCTGATTGAACAATGGGATGTTTGAAGACATCTACAGAGAGAATCTACAGAATTTTGATATTTGTGAGCCCCAAGGTGAATCTGGTTCCACAGTGGATAAAGTGAAGACAACTGATGGTGGCTTTCTAATGCTCGGCACTAGATGCACCTTTTCCAGAAACAGATATCTAACAGAAATACAACTTTTAGAAATGACAAGCAAGTTTGCATGCAAAAAAAATTAGGATTCCCACTTACTTCCTCATTAAATAATTTGCTAGTTTCTTTTTTAATAGGGTCTATAAGTTGGACCTGGCCAGCAGAGAAGCCCACTAGGAGAGAGACACTTTCTGCTGTGGCTGTTAAGTGATTGAAGTCATGACACGTAGGTTGGGTTCCTTTGTATATCCTTTTGTCTATTGGTTTACTCAAGTCAGCAGCCTGTAAAGAGAGCAATGAGAACAAAATTAAGATACTTTGTTACAAACACATCTTTGACAGACTAATTTCTATTAGCAAACAAATTTGTACATAGCAACAAAATTAACAAAGGTTAAATACAAATCACAAAATATTAATTTAAAAAGCAACTTTGTGTTTGCTTTCACAACAAGAAGCAAGATGCCTTGAGCAATTTAACATGCCAAGAGTTTCCTCTGACAAATACACCTTTCAGCTTCACTAAATACTGTGCCACAAACCACATGCGAGAGAGAAATATCTTGCTTCCAACTTTCAGGAAGCTCATTTCCAAGAGGACTATTTGAGGCAGGGGTGCAAAGGGAGAGAAGGGATTAAAAGGGCAAGGAGAGAAATGAGTGTAGGGGGACTACTGGATAGAGACTAGTTTTCAACTCTTCTGGAACACACAAATGTAACAGCCTTTCATACCAAATTAATTGATCACGTTTTTGGTGATTACTGAATTAAAAATAAAAAGTTACCCAAAAAACCTGTGCTGTAAACTGTAATGTCCTAATAGAGATATTTAGCCATGTTAGTCTGAAGTCAGGCAGAAGGCAGAGTAGAGGTGTACTTGGTACATACTAACCGAACCAGAGATGCGTGTTTTGATGAACAGCAGCTTGCTTTGTCAGAAAGCGTAAGCATCTGATTCAATTAGTATATAAAAGGTGCATCTCTACCCTGTCTTCTGTGCGTCTCAACACTGGGAAATCTGGAGCTAAACTTTGAGCACCTCTTCTGTATGCATTGATGTTTGTTCTTACCACAGAATCATCTAATAACTAGATCCGAGCCTCACATTGATAAATTAATATATTTGATGGCAGTTGGATCATGGGGAAGGTACATGACAGCCTCATACAACTATCCTCTTATTTTTGGAGAACATTATTTGGTTAAGTGAGACTCAGTCTATGCATAGGGTGTTACTGGGACCATAGCTTTTATTTTGGAGGGGAGAAATTGATCCTACTTAAAATATTTCTCAAAATTCATAAGGAGGCTTCAGATATCAGAGATCTGAAAAAAGAAGGTTAAGCAAGGGCTATATTAGGTGCCACAGCCAGTGTTTCTTGCCCAGCTTCTTGTTTAAGCATCACCAAGGAACACCACTTTTGAGGCAAAGAAACCAGAGGTGATTTTAATACAGTCTTTTTAGTTGAGTGGTGCATACCAAAATGCATTTTTACCTTATGACCAGACAGCACTGAAAGAACAGAAAATATTAGAATAAAGGCAAAAAAACACAAAGAATTAGTTTAAAATACCGAAGTCTTCATGTAGAAGACTCAGAAAAGAAGAGAAAAAAGGGACTCAGGCTGACAAGTCAGAAGCACGGAGAAACTTCCACATTACAGAATGAAGACATTGACAGTTTTAAGAAATAGACAAATTGAAGTCCTGCCCGTCCTGGAAGACAGATGACCAGAAAACAAGTGAAACGAGGTCAGACAAGTCGAGACTCAGAGGCAAGTGACTGAAAAGGCATTTTAGATTAGTATAAACAGATTTTAAAGAATTTCACTTCAGGCCTCCTTTCTTTGACAGGTTCTATTACAAAACTCAGCACTCCCATGCCTTCAATTAAGATGTAAAATTATACAGCATCTTCAGGCACGCAGGGGCTTAAGTGGCCCGTGTTCAGGAACCTTTGCTTCAGCACCACTCTACTACTACAGAAAACAATGATGAGATTCAGAATCTTTAACAAAACTAGGGATTCTTCTAAATCATTTATAGAACTGGGACATTTTGTGGCTATGACTTGTTCTAAAAAGGAATAGTTTTGGTGTACAAGCTCTGAGTTTTTTCTAGGGGTTCCCTCTTTATACAATGTGAACTTTCAGGTCATCTCTGGTCTCTTCAAGACTAGAAACACTGCCCTGTGTATCCATACAGTCATAATAACAAAGCAACACAAAATGGAACAGGAAAATCTACGTTGACTTCTTAAGTTACAAGGTTCGGAGACCAATGGGCTCAGCCTGCATACAGCTATACAAGCAGAACCATGCTTGTTAGTTATTACAGGGGAGGGCGTGGCCAGCTACACTAAGCATGCCAATTGAGACTGCTTCCACAATAAGAGATAATCCCGTAGAAACAACTTTGTAGTACATATGCAGCTACTGGTGGAAGTTATGCCCTGTAGTGTGAATTAAAGTTTATAAACCAATTTGAACCAAATCAGGACCTTCCATTCAACTCGCTAAGGAAATACTCTGGGGGAAGGGAAAGAAGTCTTGTACCTGTGGACTCTGTCAATGAAAGAACATGATGCAAGTTCCACAGTTCCCTTAGCTAATGGGATTTTACTAGCAGCATCCCTTTGGAAAGGCTTCAAAACAGAACTACATGAGGAATTTAAGTTTCCCAGGGTGACATTTTAGAGAATGCTCTGCAAGAAAAATCGCCCACAAATATCTGAATGCCCAGCTTCTAGAGTTAAACGTGTACAGAGAAAATCTGACAAGCCACCCTACAGAACACACAGTACATGCAAGACCTTTCAACTCCAAAGGCTATTATTGTTCTCAGCAAGTGAGCTATGATGCTGTTTGCAGGAGACAAGATTGACAAGCAAGTTTCATAGATGCATCCTCTCACCCCTCTGGAAACAGCGGAATTTGATCCTCTAAAGTTTAAACCTTGAGATGCCAGATGATAGTCACGTGAGTACTAGCTTATGAAGAACAATGGATGTAGCTCATGAAGACCTATTGAACAGCCAAAGTATGCCCAAGATTTTCTTGAATATGGGATCTTTGGGCCAAAAAGGAACAACATTTCTTGCACTCCAAAAAAAACCATACTGCTCTGCCAATAAGGAATTACATCACTGTGAAATGTGCAGTATCGTATCTTAAGAGACAAAGCCTGTAACTCAGGCATCCTTGAGGGAAATGCATGGGTATTTCTCCTTTAAGGACTTAGAGATGCAAAGCCCGTTATGGACCAGACACAGCTATACTTGATTCTCAGGAAAATGAAGATACAAGATATGGAAAATGCTATATTAGAAGCAGGTAAAGGCAGAGAGAGATCCTTCTTAAAAAGAAAGGACAAGATGGAGGGTGCAAAGACACTAATTCCACCCAAATGTTACTCTGTAATATGGGGTGTATACTGACCAGCTGGCTGCCTACAGTAAGCATTGTTACAGCACCTGATCATGGGCGACAGGGGAGCCAGTTTCCATTGGGCAAACTGCTTACAACAAATCTACCCTACGACAAGTCCCGACTGCTTTAAGGTAAGTTACACTGGTACACCCCTTATGTCCACTCCACTGGTCAACCTCATCACCAGAAGCAAACTTCCTACAGCCCAAAACACACCGAATGGATCCAGACCATGCCATGTCATGGAATGCAAAACCTGCCAACATATCTCCACCACCGCAACAAATACTACATCCCACAACAGAACCATCAGCATTCCTGGATCTTTTAGCTGCACCTCCAGAAATGTAATCTCTCATCCAAAGCACCAAATGCCCCAAAGGAAGATACTTAGGAGACCAAACAATAACTGCACACCAGAATGAACGCACACTGGAAGTCTATCAAAAACAAGAATACCCATTTATCTGTGGGGACACATTTCTCACAAGAAAACCACTCTCTCCAATCTCTCAGTTCTAATCCTCAAATGGAATTTACAAAACACCTTACACAGATAAGCCTATGGACTGTACTTCATCAACCTCCTGGATACAAAGAATCATGGACTAAATATAGAATTGGATTTATGGCACATTATAACCTGCCTGACATCTGACTCCTCAGGCACCTCTCCACTATTTACCAGCAAGCAGATAAGGTTCTTTGGGGAAATCTGGTATCTTTTATTAGACCAACTCATGAATCCTTAGACCAACATGGCTACAACCTAACATCCCTATATAGTTACTCTTCACTTCAAAAGTTATCTTTACTTAGAAAGAGTGACTTACTGGCAAAGGCTATCCATCATGTGTCCACTCCACCTTTATTTTAGAAAAAGTCAGGAGACTGAAGCAGCAGTCTCCTTGTCCAATACAGGGCCACTAATTGACAGTGCCCCCCCTCCTGATCTTCAGGATAACTCCAGATAGTAGAGAAAAAGAGTCTATAGGAGACCTAATGAACATCCCTGAGACAAAAGCTATGCTTATGAAAAAGAAGATTCAAGAGCAGCAAAGAGAGGAACCTTGAAGTTTGTCTGTAAGTCTAAACAGGACCCCAAATTTCCTCAGCAAGGGCACGGGCAAGGTAAGAGGGCAGGAATCTGCAGCATGTCAGCAGTATCTGACAGTAAGCAACAGGTAGCTTATGGCAGCATAACACGCTTACTGTATAACTCAACCCAAGGCATCAGAAGACATGTTTTTAACGGCAGGTCTAACCTTGTCCCAGTGCTTATGGATATAGGCCACCGCAATAATTGTCTATCACAGTCAGGATGGGGAAACTGATCACCCAGAGAGCCAAATGGACAACAAGAGTATGAACACGTTATACCAAGTTAAAAGGAGCTGGGATTTACAGAAACATACTAGTCTAGCCATCTAATAACTGAAGTCTTAGCAATGGCTTTTTATTTTATGATGGGATAACAGGCTAGAAATTTTCTGACACTGTAAATCAACACTGCTTTTGGAGCTTTCACCATATCAGAGGTATTCCAACATCATGTGTGATTTTTTTCAAAGGCAATTTGCTTGCAAGAAAAAGGATATAATCAAAAGCACATATCCAACCAAACCTGCCCAAAGCTATATGAACAGATAGGCCAGCTTTAACCCAAAGAAAGGTACCCTTTCTAATACCTTCATGCCAAGGTGACTGCACTCAAGATAACTTTGCTTAGCTGCGTATTTCATCAAGATGGTTATTTACAGTATTTCATATTGGAGCGGAAGGGGTGTTCACTGGTGTGGATTTCTTAGATCTGGATGCCAGAACATTCTTACTTGCTTTCTCTAGCATGCTGGA